ATTATTATTATTATTTTCCCTTCCTTTTCTGTCCTATTAAACTGTCTTTATCTCAACCTACAAATTATTTTTTTTTCCCGATTCTCTCCCCATCCCACAGCGGGGGGGGAGTGAGCGAAAGGCTGTGTGGTGTTCAGCTGCCTGCTGGGTTAAACCACAACAATCAAATTATTCTGAAACTTTATTTCTGCAGTCTCTCCAGCAGGTCAGAAAAAACAGTAAATTGTTAAATGCTTAGAACTTGACTTCAAGCAGCAAGGTAGTCTGGGGAAAGGAAATGGCTTGCAACTGTTACATCATACAGTGAAATCCTTTAGGTGCTGGTCTCTTCCTTATCTTACAGGTTGTGGAGCCTAAATAAAAATTTCCAGAGCATTCCAGAGTGTAAAGTCTCTGCCCACCTATGTCTGGGCCATGACAGATGAAGCACGTAGTACTCACTAAAACTGAAGCATACTAATACCTGCATAAAACAAGCATTTGCTGTTTACATAACCTCTAATTCTACCCAGAATCTTTCCTTCACTGGATGTTATGTCTTTACCTGGACTGAAGTACAGAAACAGAGTCTTGTATTGATATTGTATTTAACAGGCAAGATCACAAACATTGGGCCATACCTATGATTCAGTGTGGTCTTAGGATAGTGCAAAATCAGGTGGTTTCTTTTTTTTTTTCCTAATTCTTAGGTTGATTTTGAGCTGGTCACTAGCTTGTGTTGAAAGACTTGGTCTCTTTGGGCAGAAATGTACATACTTTAGTCAGCAGCTTCATTACTAAATAAATTCAAGTCTTGTGTTCTCCAAGTTTCAATACCCTGGCCAAGTTACATGTTAAGTTATATGACCCCTCTACACATGGAAGTCCCTGGAAGTTGCACATATAACAAGGCTATAGAATAGAAATTAGCTATTCATGACACACTGAATGTTTGTGAAATATCCATAAAGTAGTAGGAAAACTCCTCTGTATCTGTAGGAGTTCTCTATTTCCTTACAAATCTGAATATTAACCTATTATACCTTTTTTGCTCATATACATGCTATTTTTCAAGTTGAAGCAAGCTTAACTGCAGAAAAAAAATCCATCACTTTAACAGGTTGGCCTTCTGTCAGAAGAAAATAGATATTTTCTGAAATTTCTAAAAAAACACGTATGTCTAAAATCCACTAACCTGTTCAAAGTGAAGTTATAACATTTCAAGTAATTGGGAGAAATCTTCTGATAGTTATAGAAGTTGTTAGATGGTATATTAATTGTAGTCTCCATCCATAAGATTACATGTACACTGTGTCTTACTATTTCAATTTAAATATACGCTTCTTGCTGTTTCAGAATTTGGTAATAGACTGTAGAACAAATCAACACTTCCTCTTATATAGTTTCTCAAATTATTTCCACTGTTTGAAGTGAGCATTAAATGCAATTATTTTAGATATTGGTCATTGTTGCCTTCCTTCTCCTCCTTCACTTAACAGAATCGTTAGATTATTTTTGTGTGTTTGTTTATTAATTTGGTTTTCTTAGCCATCTCCTTGTATGCCTACTGCGGGAATCCTGATATACCTGCTGCCCTATGCTAATGTAACCTTGTTACACCATGACTGAAGTTGACTCAGCATGTTTTATCTAAAACTGTTTGTTTTAAATAAAAATAGATGTATGTTGCTCAAAAGAGGTTGAGAGTCCAACAGAATCTAACTGAAACCTATTCTTCTCCTGGTTATCTCTCTTCTGTGGACCAGTTTTTCTCTTCTGTGGACCAGTTTTTTCTTTATTAACAAGCTGGAAGCACCCTTTGAATAACTTATACATACTCTAATATTACTGCATGGTATAATAAATGTCTATGGTGCCCTATGGGTATCACAGTTGGATTGTTAAACATAAGCCAAGGACATTTCTGCTCATATGTCAGTCTGGAGACAAATCCTGCTGCAACGAAGTAAAGCTAGTCTTAAGGCACCATATAAAATATTACAGATTAGTGATTTATCAAGTGACAGTAACTAATGACAGGGAATAAACTCCCTCTTCTTTTAAGTCATCCCCTCATGTAAAAGTATCACCAACGACCTGTCTAGCAAAGCAGCACTTAGTTTTTGCAGAGTAATCGATGTGGCTGGTCTCCATACTACAGCAGCTGCAGTGGTAATTCCCAGTAATCTCTGCGAGAGTAAGGAATTCTCAGCAGATGCCCAGGATCAACTGCTAGGAGATAAACAGGGGACTTCTGCAGAGAGTGTTTCTTCTTATAGAGTGTGAAAGGGAATTTCATGTACGGCTACATTACAGCTACCTGGAAAGAGCAATTAAGTTCAACAGCAGTGAAGCAGTTGAACCATGCTAGAAGTTTACAGACTTTAAAGAAAAAGTTAATTTTTATTTTCTTTTACCCACAGGTCTACCCACGGATAGCGCCGGCATTTTGGCACTACCTGCGGGTAGAAGTGAGTAGCGGGTATTTGAATACTCCCACATCTTTACTTTACAGCTTACTAGTATTTACTGACCTCCTAGTTTGTCCGTTGTGCAAAAATAATTAGCTACCATTCTAGCTGCCATTTTCTGTGAATGTAGTCTTGTACTAATTCCATATTGTTTTGGCTACAGTGTAATTACTAACCCAAGACACAAAGATGTGATGTGTTTATTTGCAAGATTAAAGACAAAAAATTGAAATCTAAGTCAAGGCCATATCATGCATTATGACTATAGCACAAAATCAAAGTACAGAAATCCATACCTGCACCTCCTTTTATAAACACATTTTACATTCATGAGAAGAATGTGGAGCTTCAGTTCTGCTATGTCGTTTTTGCAAAGTTTGTACAACTCAACTTGATATTATTTCTCCCCTCTTTTGTCCCTCAGGAGCATGAGCAGCTCAGCTATTCCTCCACAAGGTCCAAGGCTCCAAGTGTTATCATCACAGGTCTCAAGCCAGCCACCAAGTATATATTTCATATCAGAGTCAGGACGGCAGCAGGATACAGCGGCTATAGCCAGAAGTTTGAATTTGAAACTGGAGATGAAAGTAAGTTTCACTGAAGGAAAAAAAATCAAATACAATAGAAGTAGCATCTGATTCTAAAACAGTGAGGCATTGGGAGTTTGAATGGCTGAATCCATACCATTTGCTTATCACAAAATGACCACTGCTGTATGATAAAAACCAAGTAAGCCTCAGCCTCACACTTCTGGATTTATAACAACAAAAAGAAATTTTAGCCCAATACTGCAACTGAAGGAATGTTTTCTTCTGCAAAATTTCCTTATGGGTCCCTTCCAACTTGAGATATTCTATGATTCTATGATCCTTTCTTTGCTTAAAGAAGGCCTTCCTTTTGACATCTAGAAATACCCTTAGTCAGGCTTTACATAAGTCCAGCAGCTTCATGCAAGCTCCCAGAACACCGTGATGGAGTCTTTTCTCTGTAGTTTTTAGTGCTCCTAGACTCTACAAATAAAAAAAAATGAAAACTTTTATATGCATTTCCATCAACCAATAAGCCTACTAGCTTGCCAGTAAGAAACAAAAAGCCTACATACTCCTACAGAATATGCAAAAAAGCTTGATGCTATGTATGATGTTCATGCTCTGAACAATTTTATATTTAAGTCATGTATTGCACTCCATGTTCAAAGAAACTGCAAACAAGGTATTTACAAGCATTTGAGATAAAATTAGTGTAGTAGATACAACACTAAAACACTCATTAATGAAATTACTTTAATTAACCAATTATGTATACCATGTTTTTCATTAGTGTTTTAGAATTCAAGTTGCTTAAGCTAAAGTACAGAGTCAAAACTATGTAAGTGTTTTCAAGAGCACCCATGGGTTTGTGTTCCATTTTCATTGCTTCTTAACTTCTATTTCAAAAATGTTTTAGGGATAGATTTCCAAGTGCTTAAGGCCTAATTGGACTTTTAAAAATTTTCTGGGTACTTAAGCCAACTGGTTTGAATAGGAGTTGAGCACTTGGGTGCTTTCAAGAATTCCAGTAGGTCCTGTCTGCATCTTCTGATGCAATAAATACTAGGCTTTAGGCACTCAGGGACATAACTCTTATCAAAAGTAAATGGTATTTAAACCTCTATGAGCCTACTGCATGTTTGTGACAATGTGACTTACCCACCTAAATCAGGAAGACTGTGGTTCCAGTGTCATTTCTCCCATTGGCACTGCTGATAGAAACATCTGGGAGTGAGATTCCACCCATTCCTTCCCAGCCCCGTGTCTCCTTCTCAGTTCCACCTATGCAACTGGCTCTTGGGCTGCATGGTGAGCTAGAGCTCACAACACTCTTAAACATTTATTGCCTCTATTACTTCTAAGCACTCAGTGTGAATCTTGACAGTGAAACATAAATACACATTATATATTTGCTGTTTACCAACATTTATTGCTTAAGCTTGTGCCTGACTAAAAGTATGTGATTTGTTATAAATATACATCACTGTGTGATTGAAAGGAAATGTAGACAGAAGAGTTTCTGTTTATGATCGAGATGGAGGTCGAGAGAAACTCTGCCACAGTTTGAAATGGTACCTGAAGCTAGATAAAGACTTCAGTTTAATTAAAAGGGTAGTTCAAAGGACTGTGGTCTTATTCAAATATTTATACAATACTGCTTTAGTTTTCAAAGGGAAAAAAAAGCAAAGTAAGTGCCTGCTGGTAAATATTACTTATTTCAAACTGAAGCAGTACTCAGTGACCAGTCAAATGATGCCTTGTGACTCTCCAAATATCTTACTTCCTCACAGCAGTATTTTGAAAATTGGCCTATGCTAATCTTTAAGGCAATATCAGATGATTATGATCATTCATTTGTATCCATTTCATAACACGGGCCAAATGTCTGTAACTCTGTAACTTTTCCAGACAGCTAATGACAATACATTGAAATGTAACGTCTACCAGATACAAATAGCCTTGATTTAAAGTCTTCCAGTAATGGGGAGCTCACCATATTTATAGGTAGATAGTGCCAGTGCTTAAGCCTCATAATTAAAAATTTGCACCTTATTTCTAGCCTGAATTTTTTTATTTAGCTTGTACCTTTTGACCCTTTTCTGCCAAATTAAAAAGCCAAATACTATCAGGATACTACCTCTTCCTCATCTAAATGTGTGTATGCCATTTTTAAGAATTCTCTTGTCTTTCCCATAAGTGATATAAATGCTCTCTCTCACTCTAAAACAAAGTTTTTCCAAACATTGAATCATTTTGTAGCTCTCCAAAATTTTAACATCCTTTTTGAAGTAGAACATCAGAGCTGAACCTGATCCTGAATTAAACTGGAAAATTAAATCTGTTTATGATGCCATAAACAGACCTAACACCACTTACCTCCTTATTGTCTTACACAGCTGAATAACTAGAACATAGCAACATTTTTGTCAGTACTATTGTATTCCAAGATACTGACCTACATTTAGATGGAGGGATTGGGTAGGATTGTGTTGAGACTTGGACTGCATAGTTATTACAGTACATGTAAATGTTAACTCGCCCTTGCTGGCATGCATCTATCTTACAAACCAGTCCAAGTCAAGCTGTGTAGGAATCTATCTTCATCATTTACTACTCTGGCAGTATGCAGCTCAGCTGAAAATTTTCTGATTTTTTAATATATATTCTTCTCAATTATTCTGAAAGATACCAAATAATATTAGACCAAGGCAGACTATTGCAGCTCCCTCCATCCCTACCCATTAGAAACAAGTTACTCGGTGAAAATTCCACATTTGCAATTACTTTTTGTGGTCTTTCAGTTAGCCAGATTTTAATTAATTTAATGTGAGCTATACTGATTTTATATAAAGTTAATGTTTTCATCAGAAGGCCGGGACGAATAGAGTCTTTTAAAAGTCTGTATTGTCAACAGAAAATTTATCAACCAACAATCTCATTAAAATTACAAAAAATATTTCATGTGTTTGATAAAAATCCTTCTCAACTGACATTAGCTAGTAACATCCTTCAGCTCTACCAGTTGTACATGTTATAGTCTTAATATCTAAAGGAGAATTCCAGGACCAGTTGCAGGTGAACATCCAAGGTTATTCCATTTACCCTGCTTGAATATTGACATAATTTGTTAATAAATAGCGGTAAAGTGTGCAATCCAAAATTGGGATTTTTCTTTAAAGTGATAGACAAGTTGTAAAACAGTAATGGTTTGTCAGTTGAGAGACGTGTATATCAATGTCCTAAAACATACTGTCCTTGGCAGGACAGTGCTGTCATGCCCTCTCCAGTTTACTGGTTGAAACACTATCTGCGCCACTTCAGTTATATAGGATAAAATTAGATACATCCTTACTAGGAACACCAAGACATTTTGGTATCATTATTAATGGTGTTGCCTGAAGCAGAAAGAAGGCCAACTCTGTAGGAGTAATGAAAAAACAGTTAGTTAATTATGCAATGTTAATCTGGGTTTTGGGAAGCACCCTCACTTACTGACCAGCAGACTGAGGCAGCCATTGCTTGGGGAGTATGTTGTTGAACTCTTCTCCCTGCTGCAGAGACCAATAAATGGAACATCTGAAAGAGTAAAATTTGTACTTTCTTTGTGAAAGGAAATGGAGTTGCCTAGAAAAGTCTGAAAAATTATCTTCAAGGAAACAGGGATGGATGAATGGATGTTGTCAGGCATTTCTTCCCCTGCTAAAGCTAAGAGGCTGCTGCTGGGAAGTGTAATACCTTTGCAAAGCATAGTAACTACTGCTTTTGACCATGTTACTTGTTGCCCTGTTATTCAGTCTCCCTGTTTCAGCACCTTACAGGCAAAACACTTCTAGCAAAGCTGACAGGGTTTCATACACTCCAGCACACACAGGTGTACCAATGCTGTGGCCATAAATTGAAGCATAACCTCACTTGTAGTTCCTGCTTTTACGTATCAGGAGTACCAACTATCTGAGTCACCACAAAAAACTCTGATCCTTCCTAGGACAGAATAAAATGTATTCTGAGAACAAAAAATAATTTGTCCCTGGGCAAACATGCTTTAATCTCTAACTGTTTTCTCTCTCCCTCTCTATTTTTCTCTCTCTTTCTTCTACCTAGCAGTTTATGTTTGTTTGTTTGTTTGTTTGTTTGTTTAAATTAATAATTCAAAGCGTTCTTTTTTTTCATGGAGGAATGTTTTTTACTATATCACCTCAGAGGCCCTTGTGCCTAGAGGAATTTGTAAAATATTGAACAATTTACAGCTGTTAGGCAGTGCAGTGTTTTCATGCTGTAGCTCTCTTGTGCAGGGCTTGTTCTAAAACCAAGGGTATTTTACACGTCAGCCTTCCCGCCATTAGGAAAAAAAAATCTGAAATGGAACTAGTTGGCTTGTTCCAGAAGGGGCCTAAGGGGCAAACTAGCATGTGTGCAATGTGGACCAGTGCTTGGGCTGAACAGAGTGATAAATGTAAGCATATGATGATTTTTAATCCAAAAGCAATGTAGATTTTTGTATGCTTCAAATAAATCATATTAACAATTTAAAAAAACAACGTTCAGAAGTGCTGATAGAATACCTGATTAGGTATTTTATAAATTAGAGGACTGTGAAAAATTAATTGGCCTGAAATCCTGATCTTGATGAAACAATAATTTTAGTTTCTTTACCACAGGCACAGATGGTGACTTTCTTGTATTGCCATATCTGCTGATATTCTTCCTCCTCTTCCCACATCCACAAAATCTATCTTTAACTTTTCAGCCTCAAATCATGCTATTTTGGATTTGCCACCAGATGTGATTTAGACCCTCAACTCCATTCTTTCCAGAACTCCAAAGCTCAAGAGAGGGGTCCTGAATCATTGATTCTGATAGAGGTCCAATATTGTTTCAAGCACATGGTCTGATTCATGCCCCAACAGAGAAGCTGTCCCTCGGATTTTTAGAAATACATTGAATTACCAATGCAAAATGGAGATTTTTTTGTTAGAATGTTTGATGTTTTGACAATAGTAAATTAAATTTCTGGTTGAAACAAACAAATGAGATGGCACATGTCTCATATTTAGAAACTGTCTTGCTGGATCTCTTCCCATGTCTGCCTAGTCCTGCTGTTCATTCAATAGTAGTCAGCACTGGATACCTCAGAATGTCTCATTTTAATCTTGAAGTATTTCCTTAATGTGTTTTATATTTTCAGCCATTTGTTCTTCAAATTTGACTTTGGCTGATCTGATTTCTCTACCATATGTGCCCGGAAGCCCCAGAGACTTTACTTTTCCTCCGCATTTCCTAAACAAGAGCAATATCCTTGCTCAGATCTCAAACTGCTTGCACAGGTTTTCCATTCATCCACTGGTCAAGAAGCTAATGTTGGGGCAACACTTGGAAGAAGGCTTTTCAAGCAAATACATACCAAAAAGTTTTACATTCTTATGCTAGTGATGGCATTATTTTTCCCTTTTGAAAGTCCTTTTTAAGATTGCCTTTCCATTGCCTCTTCCCTTTCCCACATTCCCCCTTAGATTGGAGCCCGTCAGCTCACTGGAGCACAGGAACTGCAGCATTTCTGAAAATGTAAAGGTTACCCTAATTAGACTTTATATTTTTCTTTCCTATTGTTCTTAAGCACTGTTGTTTACAGTGCCTTGTAAATCCATCTGACAGCCAGTTCCTGTCTATTAGAGCTCCAGTTATCACCGTCCACACTTACCTGTCTTACAGCTACTCAGTATTATCTGTCTAGCTCTCTTTCTGTCACTTTTTGATCTTTCAGTCTGCTGGAAGGTCCGCCGCCTGATAGATGTCAAATTGAAATAACTAAAGGATGTAGCTAAGAGACAGAAGTGAGCTGTCATTAGGCCTTCCAGCCCTTTTATACCAAATACACAACCTTTTAAAAGGTTTTAGAGAAATTTGCTCAAAGAAAAGAAAGGAAAACAGAGCTGGAAGTTTCTCTCTGTCTTTCATCCTCTTGCACCATGACTAAAACGTCTGCCCCATTTCCTCCAGTCTGCCCAGTGAGGAAGTGAAAAAGCCTCGGGATATTTCCCTTCAACCCAGAGAGGAGGGAAAGTGCAGTTCCTGCTCCACACATTCGGGTGAAGAACCCAGAGAGGAGCTGAGACGGGGCATGGAAGTAAAGAGTAGATGGTGGGGACAGAACTGACACCAGGCTGGATGCAGAAGGGATTTCTGGGCATGGTGTTAAGCAAGGAAGCTGGAACGATGCAATTAGACACTTTAAATGTCATTTTGGGCATATAACCTGAGTTAAGCATGAAGAGTAATGGGAGTGAAGAGTTTATCTGGATAATATGCTTCTGGGTACATGTATGATACATGCTGCAGTTTTAAAATCAAATCACCGCTTTGACCAATCACATTAGTTGCAGCTATAATGTGTTTGAAGAGTTTTGACACCCAAACATGATAGTATACTATCTGATCATCTGCTGGGAAAAGTAAGAAATCCTGCCTTTTCCTTGTCTTATGCTACTTATTTTTTGAAGTATGTTTTTGTCAAAATGAACTTATTGAGCAGACAGGCAGAGAGAATGAAACATACTACCAGACAAAACAGCCAGCCCAGTTAGACAGGTACTAAGCTTCCTTATGAGTCTTAGCACTGCTAGTGGTTTACATATTCCTGTTGCACCAGCACTTCCTCACCCCCTTGCTTATCAACTTTAACTATCAAATGGAGTGTGGCCCCATACATGATACAGCCACATTCATCCCTGTGATCACAGAGCTACTAATCATCCCTGCACTGGATGGATTTGGGTGGTGCATAGTTGGCAGACGTGAGACCGTGCACTGCACAGTGTAGAGACAACAAAATACTGATTTTAGCTGTATGAATGCTGGCCATGTTGTCTAGCAAATGAGATTCTGGAAAAAATGCTGTGTACTTCTATGATTCAATGCAGCACTCTAATATGTACACACAAGGAGATGAAATAAGGTTGCAGGAACTTGCTTGGCTTTGCAACCTATTATAATTGTTTTTTGAACTGAGTTTTTCTGTCTTGCATAATCAAGAATAGTCCTGAGGAGAAACACAGGGTCATATACCAATATGCATAGCTGATGGAGAGGAAAAATGAAGGAAGAAAAAGCAGGGAACAATAAAAAAGATTCAAGAACAGAATCAATACGTGTTAAAGCTCTTATTATTTACAACTTGAACTTTACCTTAAGAGAAAGCTGGAGAAATGAGAAAAGAACAGAGACTGAGGGACATGCTGAATTTAATTTAGAATGGCAAAATGCTGTAAAAATTTTAATTATTGAGTGTCCCTGATTACTATCTTCTTACTGCCTAAATCGTGTTTTATGGAACGTTTTACCTGCGTGTGAGGCATCTGTGTGTGTGCATACACGTGTGCTTATATATGTGTTGTTCACTGCACTGTGCCTTTATTGATTTCTAGAAGGATGACTTCAAGCAAAAATAAGTATTTCCATCGTTTTGCCTTACCTGCCTGTCTGTCAGTTTTTAACAAATCCACATTTTCCAATTATACTTGTCTGTCATCTGACATTTTTATCTGACAAGTAAATTAAGGTCATTGGGAAGTTTCAGGCTCGAAAGCCCCTTATAGTGATTTGGCTACTTGAAAAAAAAATCCTAATATATTGGACTCTGGCACCTCTGCCAACGCAGTAAAATACAAAGAGAAACAGAATGATCACTTTTTAAGTACGTACAGTCTCAGCTAAAAATCGTATTGCTTAGAGGTGGAAAGAACTAAGTCAATTTGGAATTTCTCCCCTTCATGAATTTGACTCTGGTTCCTGATAGAAAATACATGTTATTAAACTGATAGATTGCATTCTGTTTTAGCTAAAACACCAGGAAATACCAGCTCCATTCAGCAGAAATGATCCAGGACACGTGGCTTTCTTCATCTCGATAGCTGCAGAGTGCTTCTTTGTACCATGGAATCAGTCCCTACATTTGCACCTTTAATTTTCATGAATAAAGGCCCTCAGTCGTCTCCTGGGCGATGAATGTCTGTTGAAGAAAACTACAGCTAATTTATCTGAGCCCATGGTTTGCTTTTCTCCAGCTGAATTCACTATTTTTGCACCCCTCTTCTTCCTGTTAGGAAAAAAAAAGAGGGCTGCAGTTTGTCCTCTCACTTCCATTGCAGAGATGGGCAAGAGAGACTCATCTAAAACCTCCTCCTCCATTTACAACATCGAACTGTGCCTGGCTCTAATGATCTTTGCAACATTTAGCACAACCCCTGCTAGTCTGAAAACAGTATTCAGCGTTTGATTTGGAGAGCCTGTTATTATTTGCATTGTTACTTGTGTGGCATGGTATTTGTTATGCTGTATTTTTCCAACTAAATCTGACCCTGTGGAACATAACACAATGCAGAGCTAGAATCCACTCCCATAATATCACTAGAAACCATTTTGGAGATTAGCTATTCAGTGAGTATTTGCTACATCATTTATTGGAAGATGTATATATTTAACTTGCCTGTGGAGGGCTTATGACCACAGATACTGAATGCCTTGTAATTTACTGCCTGTGCGTATCTCCGTTAAATTATATGGACAGAAACTTAATGGCACAAATTTAACAAGTTGTTTTTGCTGAAAATTTGACATAAACTACTATTGTTTTTATTTGCTTTACTACTATTACAAAGCCAGTTTACACTGCTAATTTCTAAACCACTCAAATATTATTTCAAAGCCAAATGTTTTTCTTGGAAACAGCATTTGATGAGGCTTTGGGCAGCAATGTGTGCATTGTATTGGGCTTCATCAACTGCAAAGTGAGAGAATATAGCCTGCTGAACTTTCTCTTTGCAGCAACCTAGGTGATTTCCCTAAGCTTTAATCATCTGGTGCCTGAAGAAAGCTGAAGATTTTGCTTATAGAACAGTTTGCAAGTTTACAAAATCAAAGTTGCTTTCCTGATAAATCTAAAATTTATTTTCTTTTCTACATTTACTACTGTTGTCAGAGGTCATTGAATAGAATTATTTATTCTCCTTTCAGAACAATGTTGTGTTTCTCATGGAAACAGAAAGTAAGAATTAAGTGAACGTCATGTGGTGAAAAAGTTCAAGTGTAGCTGAGTTTAAGAAATAAAACTTTGGAGTCACAAGACAGGAGATAGAGGAAAAACTGAGCCTAATTCTTTTTCTGCTCAGGTAGTACTTGGACAGTGAGGACCAACCGGACTGTAAGTAGGTACTTTGTCAATGTAAAGATTTAATATTATAAAGAATAAATTAATAAAAAGAGCAAGTGTCTAGAGACTGGACAATTTCAGGTGATCTTTTTTAACTCCTAAGTGTCCTACAAAAAGCAGAGAGAAAAACATGAGGCATAAGAAAATCAATTTTTTTTTTCAACTACAGTATTGCCAATCACCAGAGCATGTTATAGGTAAAACTGTATACATTTTGTGACAATAAAAATAAACACCAGACATACAGAAGAGTGTGTGAGGCTACACGTTAAGTGTGCTTTTTCTGCTTTGCTTTCTCCTGAACCCAGTTTAATATCTCTTACATACATAGCACTGCTGCTGACTTCACTGGAACAGTTGGATGGAGAGAAGTTCTGAATTAGATGCAGGATTAAGCTAAATAAAGCTAAAGAAAAAGTATGTTCTATTTTTGTGTCCAAAATCCTGTCATATTCAAACTTTAGTAAGTTGCAAGCGTCTGATAATGCCAGCTCCTCATTATAAAAGCCTGTAAACATCTTCTCCCCTTCATCATAGTTAGGACATGGATTACGGTTTTGCACTTCACAGGCGCATTCGCATTGCTAAGCACCGAGCAAACTATTACAGAGTAATTGCAACATTTGACCAGTGAAATGTTATCACCCATTCTGCAAGAATCCCGGACCTTTAACCTCTTTTCTTTGTGCTTCTCTTTCAGCTTCTGATATGGCTGCGGAACAGGGACAGATTCTTGTAATTGCCACTGCTGCTGTTGGTGGATTCACTCTCCTGGTCATCCTCACTTTGTTCTTCCTGATCACCGGGAGGTAAACAACACTACAGTGTTCTCATTTACTCAGGGTCAGAGTCATCCAAAACTAAGAATTTAAGAATAATAGTTAAGTCATTCACCACATTTTCAGTGCTAAAATAAGGGTTAGGCATAGCGGGGTGAATGTTCTCTTTGTTCAGCACTGCTTATACTCACAGTTCTTTTGTGAGAGTTGTTTTTTGTAAAAAAACAGTTTGGGGAGCTAAGCAATTATGTGAAATCAGGAAATAGCTTGGCTGTTTTTAAAATAAGTTTCTGGACCTCTTGCCTGCAGAGCGAGAATTTAAAAATACAATGTACCTGCACCCTCAAGGTTCTGACATTAGAAGGCAAAAAACCAAAGAACGGCAGTATTTTTTACAAAATCTCATAACCATCAACTGCAAAGCTTTGGAGGGTGTAACCTTAGGATTTCTGATGTCTTCGGGTTGGCAATGTAGCTTGCTAAAGGCACTTGAGTGGGCAATTTTTTATTACTTTTACTATATTAAATTTGTAGAAAGAATCATACACAATTATGTATATATTTTATATGCACATTTCTGCATCTATTAAGAGAAAATATAGGAATTATGTAATGAAATTAAACTAAGGAAAACTTCACTCCAAAATACTAGCATGATTCTACTGCCTGTGATATCACTGGTGAACAGAAAATAGCTTCCTGAAGGTCCTGTTTTATTGCTTTTTGGCTTTTTTTTTTAAATTGGATTGAAGATATCCCAATTAAATCTACATTGTAGCAGTACTGTTGCACTGGCAGGAGAATTCACCAGTCTGGACAATGATTATTTTTTATAACTACGCTGATTCTTATATTTACAATTCTTTTAGTACAGTGCTGATTGTCCACCTTCCTTCCGTTGATGTGTTGATCAGGATCAAATAATGACATTATGCAAATTGGATGAGAAAGCATTTTGATTTGAGTGGCCGGATGCCATGCTCAATTACACACTGAAGGTTTTAAGGGAACTCACAAATTCTAATTGGACTTGCTAAAAAATGCACATAGAGGTCAGAACATCAGTCCTTGCTGGAGCTCAGATTCCCACTGGCGTAGCTGCTTCCATCGTGCCTTGTTTCCTTTTTCACTGAGCCTCTGGGTGTTTCCTGTGTGATTTCAGGGCTTCACCCGCTTCCACCAGGAAGCAAAACAGAATTTAAAAGGACAAAGACATTATGTCCCCGTCTTCGCTGTGTGACATCAGTGGCACCGCAGTGCTGCCATGGATCACGAAGGCCTAAACTCAGACTGATATTCTGTAGAGGTATGGGCCTTCGAGCAGAGGAGCTGGGCTCATAGCTCCTGCAGTAAGCTCTGTAGGGGGGGTTGCGTGGGCTCTGGCCCCTCGCTACCCTTTTCCCCTCTCCCTCCTTCAGACGCATAAAACAGCTGGTGGAAGAGCCTCCCTGTGAGGAGGATTCTCCATGGAGTTTCCTTCTTGCCTGGCTTAGGGACAGAAAAAATCCAGAGTCGGGATAGGATTCTGCACTATTCCTGTCCTGGTTTAGAGCCTGTGTTTACACATAGAGAAAAGATGTTACACTGACTCCTCTGAATGTGATAATGGTCATCACAGATGAGGCTGGTATCAGTAAACGGTACTGCGCTTTCAGATTTGTAATTAAGTTTCTGTTTTGTTGGTAAAGAATTACCTCTAATTTGAAAAGAAAGTGAAGTCCTATCAGTGTAGGCTGGAGGTTTTATTTGCAGTACCCCAGCAACCAAATATGGCATGACCATTATATGAATTAATGCTCTCTCTGCTAAATAGTAAAACCAGTTAAGGCTAACGTTCTGTTGAAGTTAATGGGAGCAGTTAACATTGGAACATATTGTGACCTTAGATAATATTAAAAGCTAAGTAAATATTCCTACGATTACTACGAACACTGACAAACAGTAGGGTCTTTCAGAAGAGAGAGGAATTATTCAGACAAAGACAAACTTTTGGAGAAAATGATTGTGTGGAATCCTTATGTGGACTCCTGAAACATAACTCAAACGCTTCCTTTAGAAAAAACTCACTCAACTCGGGAATGAAAAAAAATATGGAAATGGGTTTCTTTCTGTGTTTAGTTCTCCTGTTTGCTAACGTTAAGCATATCAGAGATTCTTTTAGCTTTCTAACATCTTACTCAATGGGACCAATTCAATTAGGTAAGATATTAATTCATTTTGAAGTGCTGCTTAAATGCGGTGATAAGAGTGTATTCTGCAGATGACAGAGCAAGAAAATTTTGAATAAATACTCAATTTACTCTAGGACTGGAGGCAAAATTCTGTGTGAAAAATGGGATTGGTACCCTACAGATGTGCTCTGCTTCACTGTTTAGAATTAGCAATTTGATGAGCTGTCGAGTCACAGGGCTGCTGATGAGTCTATTCATAGTGGAGAGGCTGGGTTAAATGAGCACCTGTCTCTGCACTTCTCCGAGTGATTATCCACCAAGAGCAAGCAGGAAGCACGGCTGTCAATTGTAGATAGAAAAATGAAAGCGACAGAGACTTCGAGGTGCAGGATATGCAGTGGGACAGCGGTCTTGGCTAAATTCCAGGAAGTGTGATGTTCAAGTTCAGTGTGATTTATTCTTATCATTACAGAAATTATTCCTCTCCGATTGTTCTGTAACCAACACTAACAGGGAATGGGGAGCTGGAGCTGGAAGACTCCTCTGCTGGTGATTACTCACCGGCTTCTGTAGTCAAACTTTGGGGCTACATGCGTACTTAGGAGGATTGGACAGGTTTAAAGCCTTGTTTCTTTGACTGTTCCCTTGGGCAGACACTTTAAGTGTAAGAGCTTGGGTTCAGTGTTCTTGGCAGTTGGCACCCTACAGACCAGTTGTTCAGGTCCTAAAAACAGCACTGGCATGCTTAGTGGCCCCAGCAACTGTTGTACAATCTAAAGATTTCCACAGAAGTTGAGAATCCGCTGGTTGCTGTTTCCCTCCATAAGGGCACATAACCATGACAGCTTCAGAAGTTTCTGCCCTTCAGGTGTTCATCATCACCTCCGTAGCAACGAATTTGTGAGCGTTCCTACTCTGTTTACGTAGTTTAAATGAACTATTGAAATGAGGTGGGTGTGTTCACATATTTCTCATATCTCCATTGTTAGTATTTTACTGGATATACTATCTATAATTATAATTTATTTTATTTTATAAGGCTGGTAATGAACACAGAGAGGCCAGTCATTTTTTTCAAGCTGGTCTTGGAACTGAATGTCTGTACACCAAAGCACATATCCACACACACTGCTATTCTCCACTGGGATCAGAGCCCCAACAGCCCTTAGCCCTTAGCCTAGCCCTTTAGACCAAAAGATTTCCCTCTAAATCATACTTCTTAGGCTGTTCAGTGAGTCAGAAAGAGCTTTAAGGTCAAGAGCAAATATTTTGTTTTTTCTTGACTGAAACAGTTGCTCCTATCATGTGACCCTCAATCAGCATTAACAGTCCTGCGGGTAAGCAGCATTCAGGCGGGGGGAGATTTCATTACAGGGAACCTGAAAGCCTGCCATGGGGCAGTTTTCTCCAACATACCCTTGCAGTGTCAGGTAAGGTTGCTAACAATTCATGAACATCCACAGAGTTTTGTGTTGTTTGCCAAGGATTTGCAATTTTATAGCAATCATACAGGCATATGCTAAATCATCATATTCCCATAGCAGGCTACGTATTGTTTATCCTATATGATAGCTGCTATCTTAGAAGAAATAAGTCAGTGCCTGGCTCTGACTGCACAGAGCTACTCAGAAAAAAGAAAAAAATAGTGGTCCTGATCTGAAAAAATATTTTCTTTTTTCATGAAACATGATGAAGTCATAGAAACTATTATCTTATGAAGAAAATGTGAGCTTTTTGACCCACTGGGTATGAAAGTTAATAGGATAAGATTTAATTAGCACAACCAATGTAAGCAAACAAGAATGCAGGGAAATAATAATTTATTAAAGTATCAGGATTCTTTGGAGGAGTCAAACTTGGAAATAAAGTATTGCATCAAACTTGAACTTAAGTAGTCATTTTCATACTAATCATTCAACCATGATTTATTTTTATTTGTATCTAATCTGTTTGTAGTTCTTCATGCATATTTCTCTCTTTAGATTCATAACTAAATATATATTCCAAATGCAAAGATTTTGGCTTTCATAAAAGTGCAGATAAAAATTAATGTACATTTATTTTCTGCATGACAAGTATTTTAACTAAAACTTCACTTGTTTTTTTTAAAAGATGCCAGTGGTATATAAAGGCCAAAATGAAATCCGAAGAGAAAAGAAGGGCTCATTTGCAAAATGGACATTGTAAGTAGTTCAACACTGTATTACATTATATCTATATCATGTTTTAAATGAAGAATGTTCATTGTTTTCTGTACAGCTTTTGCCCTTGCTGTTTTAATCTGGCCATTTGCATAGTTCCTTATTGTCTGCACCATCAAGGGTGTTTATTTCTATTTGTATGTCCTCTTGAACAATTTCACTGAATTCACTCTAGTTAATAAGGGTTTTTGGTATTCTATTAATAATATTTATCAGTTTTTCAGGTATATTTCTTTGAATTTTCAACTGGTCTGGACCATATTGAATTTCTGCCTCAAAATTCCTCTCTTGGTGACTACGTGCCTTATTTGTATCCAGTTCTTTTTGGCTTTAGGGATCTACACTTCCAGCCACCCAAGAAATAAAAAGTGGAATGGGTTGCCTTCCCCCATGTTCCTGCTCACTGATCAGTACAGTGAAAGAAAATCCTGGCAATCTCTCGTGGGCAGTATATTAGTTTATTTAGTTTAGTTTAACTGCTTAGTTTAAATTACTAGCCTCACTGTTTTATGTTAGAGTAGCTATTTAAAGTTTTTATTTATTCAAAGGGTATTATACAAAGGGTATTAAATTTTATTATTTTTTTGTCATTTTTGATAACATCTGTGGAAATACTATGATCAAGACAGAAGTTAAGTCACCAGAAGTAAAATCTTTTTTCAGTTGACACCACTATATGCAGCCAAGTGGCTCTTTCTGTCAGGGAAAAGGGCACATTTCCCCATAAAGGATACTTCCTGGGAAGATTTGTTTGTCATTTGTTTCCAAACGTGGTCAGAAAGGAAAGAAGACAAAAACCTTCCTGCTGGAGAGTTTGATATATGCCTCTGAGACCGTGACTGAATTTGAGAAAAGCCTCACTCAGTGTCTTTCAGGCCAGGGTAAATGATGACTGTATTTCATGTTGACACAAAGCTTCATCTCAGAGGCTTCTCATTCATTTGCAGTTATGTCAGCATCAGACTTGAGGGGGCAAGTCTCTACTCATGTATGTGCTCCACAGAACCAAGGATAAAGAGGAATTACTGTGATTTACCCCAGCAGCTAAGACTGTATTGCCAACAATACTCCCTCCTTTACGCTGAGCACTCAGCACCTCCATAAGAAGTACCTCCTTCATGCTAGCAGCAATATCTGACTGCTGACTACCTATAGATTTGGTATCCAGCATCTCAACTTGAAACAGTGTGTGGGGCTGCACAGTCTCTGCTGGGATCAGTATAAGGGTGACCTCTCCTAGACTGGCTGAAGCTGTTTAAAAAAAACCTCCACTGCAAAACCTGCACTGGTTAGCGTCACCTGTTCCTGTTCCCAGGTTTGTCATGTCCACGCTTTACATCCTGTGCTTCTGCTGTGTGCAGAAGAAAACCACCTCCTGTTCATCCCTCCTCTCTCCCTTGGCAGCTCAGTGTGAGTCAGAGGAAGATTTCAGGAAATAAGACTCTTTGAAGGGAGTTAGAAAGGGGTCCGTGATCTTGCTGATAATACGACATCCCATGATGTCTGGTGTCCTCCCCATTTCTGTATGGTGTGTGTACTCTATCAGCAGTGGTCCAAATGGCTGTTGCACACTACTTAATGAAGCCCAGCCACATTCCTGTATCCTGAACATGTGTTCTTCACCTAATGCATTTAGGCTCATCAGATAATGAGCTGCTTTAGACTCAGCTACTAAGTGATAAGAGGAAGAAGGCTGAGAGGTACTTAACTCTTTTAAAAGAGATTCTCTGGACTCAGCTGCAGTATCCTCCTCTTATCCTGATAAGTTGATGCATTATCTATATCAACTTCTGTTAATGAATTGAAAGTTTTCCAGAACCTAATCACCACATGGCAGCAGCCTAAAAAAATTCCCATCCAGATAGTCCAAGAGAAACAACATAAGTTCTTGGACATGCCATACTCAAGAACACGAGGGACATTAGCCATGCCAGAAAATGATGGCTTGCTGGAGCCTGCCAGAGCAATCTGGCATCAACCCACTATTGCCATGGCCATCTCCAAGGAAGCAGACAGAAATTGTCGAAGACTTGTAAATGGATTTTGATATTTTTGTTCTTGTCTTGCACCTGGCTCTCTGGTTGTTCAAGCTGATCAGAAGAGAACAAAACAGCACAGTCTTCCAGGGCCCATCCTCAGAGAAAAGGATCTCAAAGATTGGACCTGTTTGGCAAAAGGAATGTTCAGCCATCCACCCGTAAATGAAAGGAGTGAATTAGAAAGCACTGTTTTCAGAGTAAAGGACAGATTGCCTAAATTGACCAAGGAGCAGCAAAGGGGAATATAAACTGCTTTGGCAGTAAACACTGTTAGTCTTCAGGATCTGCTTTTCCCCGTATCTTTAAGCCCTCACTTGCTGTCTCTGTAGACACCCTTTCAAGTGACCAGCTCAGAGCTCATATTTTCTCTTGTGACTTGCTGCATTTTCCAGATGTACCAGCTGTACTTGAAGCATTCCTTAAGGATGTGAGCTAAGTGCAGAGAGTCCAAGGAGCCTCTTCAGACTAATATACTAAATAGCATTTGGAAAGGAAATGCTTACAATAAAAAAAAAATCTAATGTACTTTATCTTACCCAAAATAGCATTTTCCTTAAAACTTAGCTAGGGCTGTTATTTTTTCCTAAGGAGAAGTTTCCAAAAACTTTATTGTCCTCTTAATTTTCCTGCCTGAAATGCTATACCTCAGGAGATGCTTGTGTTCAGCTGGGACAGAGACAAAACAGCCTAAGAGTTTGACACTATCTTATCAGTTGAATACCAAAGACTGAGTTTTCTAAAGGCCTTTGACTTTTTGTTCCTGTGGGACAGGATAAACTCTGGGACCTGTGTAGCTAGCAAACTAGAGGTATAAATAACATTCAGAGAACCTAATACCCGTATTTCCTCCGTTCTTTACACTAATACTGTTTATCAGTTATCATTGCAAGCTGAAAGGATGTTTGATGTAACAATGCACTGCAGCAATCCTGAAGAAGTATCCATGCTTTCAGTCACCCAGAACATCTCAGAAGATTTGAGCGGGGTCCAGAAGGACCTTGCTCATAGTTCAGCCAGTACTTTTGAATGATTTTGCTAGTGTTGGGTTGGCAGAGACTTATCCTCTGTCTGTGGAGTTGTAACACCCAGCTCTTTAATGTCTCAGAAGCCTCACCTAAAAAAGCCACTTGAAGGATAAGAGGAAATGCTTACGTCTGTGCCCAGTCAATCTTTGAAGGCCCTGGTGCTGCCAGCAAATGGGGACAACTCGTGCATTCTACAGTTGGTTTCTGTGAACTCAGCAGCAAGCATTAATAATTTTGGGTCATTATCCTCTTCTGTTGGGTTCTGGAACTTTAAATGTGGAAGTTTTAATATATTATTTCCAATCCTTTCAATTGTCTAGTCAACCAAAAAAAAAAAAGAGAAAACCATATTGTTACATGTTACAGTGCGTGAATGTCAAAGAATGCTTGATTCCTAGTGTTTTCTCTTTTTTGCAGTACGTTTCCCAGGAATCAAAACATATATTGATCCAGACACATATGAAGACCCATCTCTTGCTGTCCATGAGTTTGCAAAGGAGATAGATCCTTCAAGAATTCGTATTGAGAGAGTTATTGGGGCAGGTAAAAGTACACCCACTTTAAAAAATGTCTACGCATGGATAGGCCACTTTTTTCAAGTCACCATGATAATGCAAGTGGTCAAGTATAGTACAAAATGTGGGCATATTTCTCTGATAGCACCAGTTCACTCTCAAGTGTGGTGTACATGAGGTATTGTGTTTGGCTATATTCCAAACGTGGGTATATTCAAATAAGGAGTTCTTGAGAGGCAGGTTCTCCTAAGCGATAGGTTTATCCCAAACCTTTTTTAAGACTTTATCAATTTTTTGGGTAGGGTTGGATTTGGGGGTTTGTTTGTTTCTTTGTTTCTTTGCTTTGTTCCAAATGTACTCAAAACACTGCATCACTCAGCATTTGCCATAGTGTCACATATTCTCTGTCATTGAGGGGGAGATTAGATCAGAATTTCTTTCTGGGGGGAGATAAAATCAGAATATAGAAGACTGAGCAAAAAATATTCTCAAATAGAAAATAGGAGGAGTACAAGGGGGAAAAGGAGAGGCTGGCTTGGGACAGGTTTTCCTGTAGCTGTGCGGAGGACGAGCATTGGCAGAGAGGGGAAGAGGAAGCTCTGATGAGAAGGTGTAGACAGTATGTGGAGCTAGGAAGCAGTGTGAATGGGGAAAATAGCTGCAGGTTCTCCTCTTACATCCCTGTTTCTTTGTCCAAGTGTGTGGTCGGGACAGAGAAGACTTACATCTGAACAATTGTTTTAGACACTGTTCTCATCTATGGGGTGTTTACCTTCAGCTGAGAACATCTCATTGGGGGATGTAGGCCATTTCACAGCTATTTGAAAATGTTTCAGAAGTTCATTAATTCTGTATGTATATTGGCCTTTTTTTCTAAGGAAGATAATATGTCCCTTGTATTTTCAGGTATCTTACACTTTGCTAATGTGCTATGTTTATAGGCATGTCTAGTCTGTGCATTAACTGTTATCCCCTTGTCTTAGCTTTGGTTTAATTGTCAGGTTTTGCTACTCAGGAAAGTGCTGTGCAAGTGTTCCCATGCATTCACTTTTGGAAAGCCTTTGTAGGGATAAAGACTCATGGTTGCTGTCTATAGAGTTCACTAGAGGTCCTGGTGGGAGCTCAATGGTGACAGAAAACACACCCCTGTGGTTAACACAACAAAAGTGAAATACTTGGAAAGATCAGAGCCTTGTAAAACCATTTCTTGTAACTGGTGTCCTGACTCACTAGGGCAGATAGCATTTCATTATTGACCAGGTCCTGAGATTGTTTGCTCTTTGTTTTACCCAGTTGTAGTTCACTGAGGACTTAGAGAGACAAGGCTAGAAAAGGGCCTTACAAAGTTACCTAACTAGTGGATCTCAATGCATGGCTTGTGACCAACGTGTCATTCAGAAGGCCCACCAACATTTCTCACAGTTATGACAAATTAAAACAAAAAGCAGACTGACAAGGAGAGTCTGAAGTTCCTGTGGTGCATGACATCCTCTGTGTTGTTACCCACACAGTGTCAGTGGCTGGGGAGCATTAATCATTTCTCAGCCCCAACAGAAAGGGAAGGTGGGAGAGCTAAGGGTCTGTGTCAGAAATTTTAATGAACCTAGAAACAGAATCCTGAGCTCTAATTCCAGCTCTGAAATTTAATTTCTTCCTGTGAAAGACATTGACACAATACCTGTCTTCAATTTTCACAATATGGATATTTCTCTGTGTCTTTAAGACATTAAAAGTGACTGAGTTTTGTAAATTGCTGTCTTAAAGGTACTTATAATACTGACTACACAGATGTTTTGTCTTCACCTCAATATAACTTTATTTCAGTAGCAATAATTAGTATGTTCCATACTCCAATGCCCATCTTTGAGCTATCCATTCTGGGCTTTGTTTAACAATACTGTTTTATTACTTACTAAGTAAATGCCAACATACAAACGCTTTTTTTTAACCTTATTTACTTTCTCTAACTTTAATACCATCAAGAAAAAAATAAAATACTTCACAGTACAGCAGATTGCAAAAATCAGAGTTACATCTTGTAGAGGAGGGTCAGTGGAAAAAAAAATTATTTTAATTTGCTCATAGTGAGCCCACCAAAAAACTCATGCGAGCAAGTATTGTCAGAAAAATTACTATCAGAAGACATAATATACTATGATCCTTCTTTTTTATCTTTGTTTCATATATCTTAGTCACTTGAGAAAGGAGAGGTATTTTTCAGTTGAGATCCCTCATTTAATGATACGTTACTACACTGATAGCAATGGAAATGTCTCCAGTGCTGCTAAAAAGTGTTTTATGCACTAGAAAATGTCATGCAAATAATATAACAGAAATAAAACCTGGTCTGTTAACAAACAGGGGAGAGACAGTATCAACCTGAAAGTAAGAGAGAAAATTCTGTTTCACTCTGCAGTCCATATCGCTGGAGTACTTTAGAGTTTACCTGATTGCTTAAGCTAGATAATGTGTAGCTGGCACTGTGCACCATTGGAATTATGAGCTTGAGAGAGGCCCCAGAGGGCTGACTTCTGCAGAAAACATTCTATCTGATTTCTTTTATTTCTTCCTTTTCTTCAGACATACTATAGATATTGATGTCTTAGATTATAAAGCATATTGAACTATATTTAGCACTGGTATAACTGCTGATTTCAAAGGAGTTGAATACAACAGACAAGAATTGAGCTTATTGATTTTGGTTCAGATGAAAATTGTGTCCTTATTCTCAACTTAATTCGTTTATGAAAATTCTTTATTCAGCTTCTCTCTCCCTTTTCTTGTATGCATGGGAGTGAATTTTTGCCTGCTTTGACATATTTTTTTAAATATTTTTTTATCTTCTAAAATTACTTGGGTAATCTGCCACCTTCAAAGATATTTGCCTAGCAGGACTTGCAGACTGGTTGCAATGAAATTTAAACCCATTTCCATGCAGGCAAGATACAGGTTAAATACCATGCCTGAGGCACGGAGAGTACAAATTCTCAGAGTTCTTTGATAGCTGCTAGGGGACATAACATGTCATTATAATTCACAGCAGTTCTAAAATTTTCTTTATGCCTTCTCTCTAATACTGTATTAAACATTGCAACCAATATAAAATGGATTTCTTATCATAGGAGAATTACTTTAAAAAGATGTTTACAATGTTCACTTAAGTAAAACAAAAAGTTAAAATCTTTTACCAAATGAAACATTAAAATCTTTTAAGAAGTGAATTAATAGATGCATTTCTTAAATTTGTTTTGTTTGAACATTTTAGTTTGATCAATGATTTTCATTTTGAATTTCTGTAACTTCAATTTTTCAAAACAAAAATTATTTCCATTCAAGAACTATAAGTTTTCATTTTGAAATTGTCAAAGTGAAACACTGCAAGTATTTGAAATTTTTTTTCTAGCATTTCTGGTCAAGAAATTTTTGAAACTGATCTTTTCCTGAAAGCAGTTTCCAATCTGGTTTTTCAATGGAAAAAGTCATGTCCAAAAGCTCTTGACAATTCACTAGTTGTAGTGCAGGTGGCTTTGACACTCAAGGCAAGTGTTTTTTCTAGTTTCTTTCAGCTTACCTAACTCTGTACCCAAGTTATCTATTGAAGTATCTTACATGATGTGAATTGGAAATGTACATTATATTATTTGCTACAGAGTAATCTGTCTGAGGATACCATCAAATCAGAAGTAGTATTTTCAGCTAAAGCTACTGATTATCTCATTTCTGATTACAGCACTGTTAAAAGTTAAAATCTCCTAACCGCTCCACTTACCTCAGATACACATACACTATAGACTTGAAAAACAAAGACTTCCTATTTATTATTTTTGTCCTATATTTCAGTCTCTGCTTAGAAGTGCAAAATCTAAGAGCCGCTGAGTGAATTTACCTACTTACACTCTGTTGTAAAGGTACATCTGAATGCTGCACAAGACACCAGGATTTCTCTGCAATCATTTATTAGCCATGTTATACAGACAATTTGGTCTGCTCCTTTGGTGCCAAGTACTAGTAACATAAGGGTAGTACTACATGATGTAAAAAGAGAGAGCAAATATCTAAAATTGTTGCTTACACACTGAATGCTCCACATAATGATGTTTTTCCATCAGAAACTAAACAGGTTCAGAGAATGCGGCAACAAATGGTCAAATTGAAAAAGAAGCAAGATCTTCAAGCAGTAACAGCAGATTGGAAAATAGCCTTTAGTAGTTACAAAGTTCAAGACGACCCTTGGCTTGCAACAGTCAAAGATATCATAGCCAAAATAAAAAGAGACTGCCTATACATGTAGTTGTAGATTTAATAAACATTCCTATTGCAAGTTCATATCATTAGGCAGGTAATAATAGGAAATGCAAAGCAGCAACAATTTAAGAACGGATGCTGAGCTCATGAGATTACTTTGAGAAAAAATGAATTAGTGCAATCTCTTGTTAAAATCCTTTTTAAAGTCCTCCTACTGGACATTTACTGAGCTTATGTTTTTGAATGCAGCCACTATATGCTATGGAGCCAGTTAACTGAAACTTTGATCTCAGCTCTCCCAGTCTTCCCCTCTGGCATGCTTTTGGTGTTACAGTACATTTGCAAACTCTCTGAATTACTATCCTTCCTTCTGGTGCTTTGAAAATAAAGCAAGTAAAATACAGACTTTGCAAAGTCCTTTCTAAATTATTCATGCTTTACTTACTCCATGTGTAGACACAAGAGATCTGCATTAAAGTAACAATATCTGCACATAAATCCAGATTCAAGATGGATATGTAGTCAGGTTACTTCCCCAAGTGGCTTTCCATCATGTCCTAGCTTACATCTGGTTCATCTGAGAAAAAAATACTGTTTTGTAGACCTTTTGATTGAATGAAAGATTATCCAGGTTAATAGCTGTTAATGGTCTCTTTTGTTAGTCTTCGAATAACTTCTGCTGGTATCTTGGTTCAAACTGGAGGGTAAAGGCAGTAGGGGAAACAGTTTACAGCCAAAATGGACATTGCAGTTTGATCAAATATTCATAATAGCAAGCAGATTACAATACCAAAGGCAAAACAGTATTTGTAAGTGCTTAGCTTACGTTTCTCATGGTAACATCAACCAAATAAACAGGTATTAATGAAGTTCACGTTCTAGCAATAGTTAGTTTAAATGGTGAAACTGATTAGTCCATTCCCTTTTATTTTATGACGAAGTTTTACTACTGTTTAATTTGATATTGTATATTCTTGGATTCAAAACTCCTGGCCGAGTTTTTTTTATCACTAGTATTAAATATTCCATGAGATCTCCAATTTGTTCATTGCAAAGATCACTGGGTGCCTTTTTGCCGGTTCCCACAATTTGCCATCTTTTCATTGCTGTAGATTTTCTTTAGATGGTCCCTTTCAGCCACTCTTCATATTGAGCTTGCTGCACCTACTGACGTTATCATATCGTTTGATTTTGTCCTGCCCATGATACTTTTTTCTGCCCCATCACTTAAACCATGCTCTTTGGTTTAAGGCTTCAGCACCTCTTCATGGAAGGAATTCCCAGAGGTACTTTGTCAAGTCTGCCTTAAAAGTTACAATTATCCTCTTATTTTCTTTGTTAAAATGTTGAAACTCAAGGAAGAGGCCAACTCTTCAATTTTTCACAGAGAGTACACTATATTCTTTTTATAATCTAAATCTTCTGCCAGTTCTCCCACAGGTCGAATGACTAAAACTGGGGAAAATGAGTTGAGCTGTATTTGGTGCTGTGACCTTTCAGTTCTATCAATAGCAACTGTCTGTGTTGTAAGACATTTGTTTTGATCCCATGTAGTAATACCAGACTGCATATCAGACTTTTAAGTGACTGACTATTCCTGTTTCATTTTAAATAACACGTGTTATGACTGAATGAGAAAAGGGATGCGTGGTTTGCACAGGGTAAGTTTCTAGACTGCTCAATTAGCTTCTTTTTGTACAACATACAGTAAGATGTGTGGGGTTTATATCATTAAACCAGGTATTATTTACACTTTATTAAAACTGAACAGCCAATGAACTCTACCTTTTCTCTAGTTATCACCAGCTTTTTCCCTGGAGCAAGGAAAGATGTCGACTTCTTTGACATCCGGCTCTTAGCTTCTACTTATTACACATGCAGTCATGAACCTTTACTTCTGCAGGGTCAACATTTTGTCTTGTTTATCTTCAAACTTGAGCAATGAGACAGATTCTTAGATTTTAAAAATCCCTTTTGATGAATACATTCCCCTTTGACTTTAAAAACATTCAAAATTCTTTATCTGAACAACAGTGAAGAAAAAATACTCTGGGATGAAATCTTGTCAAACTCTTTCTCAGTGTAAATACTTCAATGCTTTAAATTATATCATTGATCTCCATCTAGTCTAAACCAGAACTAGAAGTTATTACACATACCTTAGATTTCTAAATGTAGTAGCTGTCTGTTCTGTGAGCTGATGATCGCTTACTGTCTGTTTGACATCACATCACAAAAAAATTGCTGTTGTTAGTCTTTATGTTCACCAGTTTATCAATCCCAATATCCAAGGGGAGTGAAATTTCTTTCTACCTGTACAAATCATACATCCAAAAAAGGGCAAAAAAACAGGTCAGGGAGAAGTCATGATGTTCCTTCCCCTGCTTTGGATGTTGTACAGATAATAAATCTTGGGATTATAAGTCCTTCACTTGCCTCCTTCAGTTTAATTCATTTCAAAACACTTGATGAACAGCCCTTTACAGTCCCTGAGGTATGAATGCCATTATTTCTGAAATTCTGAAGTTGTAGTAGTCTTGTATAATCTTATAATAGCAAAACGATTTATTCTATAACCTATGTTTTCCAAATTATTCTCAAAAATGAGATTTTGCAGTTCTGCAGATTTATTGATCTTGAAATCTCTTTAAAAATCTGGATATTAAGGCTCTAGTATTTTCGCTTTTCACTGTTTCATCAAGAGAAAGAAATCGGAAATTTTGCTCATTTTAGGCATTTAAGTTTGAAAAGCCAGTAAGATGCAATAAGGTCATGGCTTTAGAGATGTGTTCTAGCACTGCTGGATGTATCACAGAATAGAAGATTGATATACCATGTCTCCTTCAAAACATTCAGGTTTCATGACTTTGTTTTATGGTAGGACTTTAGAAGTCCAGATTAGCTACTACTTTGTCAGTGGCAGTAGTCAGGCAAACAAACTTTTACGGAGAGCCTTCTAAGAGCTAAAGGGGCAAAATCGTATAGGAAAATCCCTACCCAACTTCCCCTTTTGTCAAAAGTTTCCCAGAGCATTAGTCTGATGACATATATTTTCACACATACGCACACATCTTCAGGGAAGCACATGCTTTGATTTATTTTTAAAAATTATGTAGAAATAAAACAAATGGGGTTTTTTTTGGTAGAAAGAAGACCTAGGACACTTGGCTTTTCTTAGCTGTTTAAGAAGCTGCTAATTTATTCAGAGGTTATATTCAGCATCTGTTAATTGTACTCTTGCACTTGATGATGTCTCTGTTTTGAAGTGAAAAACAAGCTATGAAATTGTTTTCTTAATCCCTCCACTCTTCCTGGATCTTATTGGCTAATGAAACCTTGTTTTATTTTAGTGGAAGCAACAGAACCTAATAAAATAAAAGCTGGATGGCAATATCCATTCTAATCCTATAACATCAGGGAGTTATAATTTTCTGAAGTGAAGCTTCTGTCTTTAAGGATCTCTCTTCTAGATTCAGTTCATATCTGAAGACACTGTTACAGGATAGAGCTCTCTTGTTTTGTTTTATTTTGTTCTGTCCTTAAAGTTTAAGGAAAACTAATTCAGGCAGCACTCAATGGAGGCAGTAACAAATTATTTCCTCCAGTTAAATATATATGTTTATGACTCATTTTTTGTTTTTCAACAGTTCTGATTCCAAAATGACTGGGGTAGAGAATTTAGTTTTGCTATGGAAGTACCCTGCACTGAGAAGCACTTTGAAATATTTTTGTGAACATTGTTTTTCATTTACTGAATTATGACCCATTGAAAACTGACCTGCAGGCATCCAGAGTATATTTGGTGGGGGCTATAAATAACTTCTGAGTGACTTCAAGATCAAAGGAAAGTTGTGATACAAACTTAATTAGTAAATGTGTAAAGGGAATGTGAGGAGACACGCATTCTTCAAAGGCCCTTACATACACAGGAAAACATCAGGTGAAGCAAGCATTGAGATTCCTCTCGTCATGCAACTCAGTCCTGATTTGCTGAAACTGTTGGCCTTTGGCTGTCTGAACAGTGAAATATGTAATTAATTTCAAGTAGGTGTGTAAGTCCATTTAAATAAATCATGTGCGAGTGCTTTTCTGGGGCATAATAGCATTAAGTACATTTTAATCGCTTTCTACAGTTGGAAGATAGTCAGGTATTCTGATATTCTCACAGCATTTCTTTTCATATAGGTCTTAGTGCATGACACCCCTATAGATAGATATTGCTATAAATAGATATTTTAGATAGATATTTTGTCATCATTAGAATTAAAATCTAAGTGTCATTATGTTCCTTCCTCATAGCATGCTCAGTTATATCACAAGCGTATTGATACCAAAGTTCAGCCTCAAAGTGTCAGTAAAGCAAGATGAACCACACTGTGGAGGGCAGATGGTTTGGTTGTTGCAGTGAAAGTACAAGTCCCCATGATCTTGTGGTGTGGCACAAAGGAAAGGTGATTATTTGTTGTGAAGTAAGGCTGAATATTTTGCTTTTCCTGGATGTGATGAAACTTGGGAACTTGAGTATCCCATCTGTTATTTCTCTGTCCACTTCTACAGAATGTGTGAGTTTCTTGAATATTTTTGTGTTCTTGTTTCATTGACAGCTACAAATAATTCAGAACTATTAAAAAAGACAGCTTTTAAGACAGCTATTGAAGGTTATTTTGAAAAATAAGGTGTTTAAATTCAGCAATACAAACTGTATTGCTGTAGTACTTCAGGTACTATGAATGATCTAACAAATATTTTATCTATTTAAGGTGAGTTTGGAGAAGTATGCAGTGGGCGTCTGAAGACACCAGGAAAAAGAGAGATACCTGTTGCAATTAAAACTCTAAAAGGCGGCTATGTGGACAGGCAGAGAAGAGATTTCCTGAGAGAGGCTAGTATTATGGGACAATTTGATCACCCAAATATAATTCGCCTTGAAGGAGTTGTTACAAAAAGTAAGTTTCTATTAATAGCTTTTTTGGTTTTTTTCCCATTCCATGTCATTTAGTATCAAAATTACACATTACTTCCACATTCAATATGGATTGCAATTCTCAGAAATTATCCAAATCATAAAGTGCAGCAGAAACTGCAGAGGGACCATAATAGGAAATTCATAGCCTATCTGTTTTCAATTAGAAATTTTTTATTTTTATTTTTTAATAAAAATCCTCCTCATTCAAATAAAGTCTTTACAGGTTCTTACGAAATAGCACTGTAGAGTTTGCTTATAGGCAAGTGCAATACAGTAGAGAAAGCCATAAATGTAACTGAGTTGACAATGAAGTCAATTCATTGTGTCAGGTAGCAGCTATAGTCTTCTTTTCCCACAAGCACTCACTCTTTATTTGGTTGTGGTTTACTGATTTTAGTATTTCCTGTTTTAAAGAAATGAAATGTAAACTCTTTTAAACTTATTGTATGCTTGCAGATGATTCACTAAAATTCCAGAAAAATCTATGAAATGTCTTACTCTTTATACCTATTGCAGCTGCCAAGAGATATCCCTTGTCTCCGAAATGTAGCATTTTTAGCAGGGTTATGGGCTTTTCTGAAATGCTGAAATATCTAGTTATCATTTAAGTTTTAAGTAAAAGTCTTATTAACATGCATGTAATTTTTTTAATGCCAACTTTTTGCAGTAATGAATTAAAAAATTCATAAGTTATACTCTTCTCAAAATTAATCATTGCCTTGACTAAGCCATGTTGTTTGCCGATTTGCAGTACTCATATTTTTCTTTTAAAGATCAAGTGTTGTGTGTATAAAACAATGATGTCCTCTTACCACCACAGTAAATACAATAAATACGTTATGAATATTTCCTGCTTTCACCTTGTTACAATATCAAAAGCTATGTTTGGAAAACACAATGTACTAGAACAAAGAGAAAATTATAGCTCCTGAACTCTTGTCATTGGAATGGAATTACAATAGGTTTATGGGATAACCTTGTTCAAATCTATCTCTCTGAGGTTCTAAATTAAGATGAAAAGGATCTTTTTTTTTTCTTCACACAGTATTGCAAGGATAAATTCATTATTATTTAGGAATGTTTGGTTACTAGACTAACAGAATCCATTACGTTGCAGACTTCTGGAAAGATATGGCTTAGTCTCCTCCATTGCTCTCCTGTCAGTTACTGCTCTGCTGACAACAAACAAGAACACGAGTTAATACTGGCTGAGCAGCATTGGAGATCTTTGTCAAGAGATGAAATATGTAGGAACTTAATTGAATTTAGCTCCTTGCTTCATAATGAGCAGCATAGCAGCAATTAAATTCCACCAGCCTTCACCAACATGGGCAGTTTATGAACCAGTATCACAGGTATGACTAGGATCCATGTGGTAGATCTAGTAGTGTATGTCTCATTTCTGAAAAAGGCTAATGGCTGTGATTCACAAACATTGTTTAAATCCAATTAGATGGTGCACACAGAGTACAGTATAATGTACTTGGCAATAGCATAATTGTTTAATCTTTGCCACATTTATAAATTTTCTTTCTGTAATGTCTCATCATCGGTCTAGAGAGAAATGAAAATTGCATTAAGAAAACAGAAACAAACAGATAAATCAGTGCTCCAACATTAGAATATTTCTTCCTGTTCTACAGTAAAAGTGATTATAGACAACCTTAAGTCAAGAAGTCATCATTAGCAGTTCTGCTTTTCTCTAAGGAGTCAGCAAACTTTATTATTGTTTTTGGAATGTTTGCCTAGAGGTAATATAAAAATAGTAGGTGTTACTGTTATAGTCACACTGTCCTATAAAAATATGCATCTCTTTCAAATATAAAATAAGTAGAGAACATCTGAAAGAAAATATTTTTTGGTCAGGCAGGTTTAAAAAAATAAAAAAATTATACAGCAATAATTATAGAATCAAAAAAATATTATGAGTTATCAACAAGTTTCACCCTAAGGCATGGAAAGTGCAAGTTACATAAAGCGTAAAGGACAAAGTTGTGCAGTACTGCTCTGCTGCAGGGAAGAAGCTAGGAGGCAGGCTGAGCAATGGACACACGCACTCTGCTATGCTTCTCTTTTGCCAGTTTATCTTTAGGATGTTGCCTTGCATTTACGCTGCCCCATCTGTGGTATTTAGAGAATAACATGGCTTCATCTGGGAGCAGAGCATTTACCTTGCATCTCCCTAAATCCTAAATCTAGGATTGCACACGGGACCGAAATTTCCTATAACTAAAAGGTGTGTCGTAAAAATGAGACAGAACCTTGTCCTAGCCAAATTATTTATGTAATGATAGCATGATTAAAAGGTGTTTTGTGTTAAATCTTAGATTAATAACAGCAGAAACTATTTATCTGGTGTGCATTACAGTTCCACTAACCTATAAAGGCACATCGGATGCAGTAAATTTGTTTAATAGACATGTAATGCTGTTCTTAGCACATGCTTTCCTCTTTGTAACCATTAGTCATTAACTCCTAGCAGTTGCTGATATATATTGCATCAGCTTGCAAGCAGTACCTTCCACTACAGTGTCATTGACTATTGAACAAAAAAGAAAAAGGATTTGATTGTAATAAGCAGAAGTGCTCTACCAAGTCAATAGCTATTGACTGTGGCAATAACAAATTTGCCTGTTCATTACAAATGAGAGCCTTTATCTGGTGCTACCAGCTAAGCAGATGTTAACTTTTAAATGATACTGTTTTCAAAATTGCTATGGAATATGTACAGTACAGGATGAAAAAATGCTAAACTAAGCCTGCTCAGAAGTAGGTCTGAAACAGAGTTTTAATCCCCTTTTCTGATTGCTTCATTTCTCACTTGTCCTAACTGCTATCCCTAATCACAGAGAGCGGTAGGCAGAACAGTTGCTGTAGCACAAGCTTTCTGTTAGCAGAGAGTTCATTTCAAGGGCAATTTGCCGGGCTAAGGCAAATACACCGTAGCTCAGAATCTGGATCCGATAGTTCGCTTATATTGCTAATCAGAAGTCACAAGGGAAACTTTATTCCTGTTTGGTTTGTTTTAGCAACACCATTCCTTGCATGGTTTGCCACAAAAGGCTGTTTATTGCCTTGCAAATTGATGGGAGTTGCTTAGGCACTTTATAAAAACATCCATGTTTCCCTTTCAAGTCATATTAGCACAGTGATAATTTTGGGAGCTCTCCTTGGGTGTGTCAGGGCATGCTCAGCCGAGTTGTATGTCATCGTCCAAGCTGCTGCTATTTCATAAACAGGTATAAGAAAAATAAAGCTTCTTTCTCCAGCATGAACATATGTAACCAACATTGAGAACTGGGCTATATGGAAGTAAGATGTGTCTTCCACTTCTACATCATGTTGAAGCCTGAAGACTTTTCATGGAAAGTCTGCAAAGTAAACTAAAGGTAGGCTTGCAGCAAACACCTGCCAACACAACTATATCTACAAGAGACATGAAAAAATGGTCTCTGACTATTGCAACTGTACTGGAAGAAATCATTGGTGTTACATTAGCCAAACTGGCATCTATAGTTAGTTTAGCTTGATGGTATCTTACACAATAGTTTAAAGCACGGCCTCGTCAGTACTGTGTAATACTGTGTCAATACAAAATATCAATGCACGCAAGGGCTTTATTGTAGTCATAATCTTAGTTTGTTCCTCTCCCCCTCAGACTTTACCCCAAATAACTTTCAATTGTTAAAATTAATTTCTAAGGAATTGCTTCCATTTCTGAACTTTGACTACTGGAGGATTTGCACCTGTCACATTTACAAGAGGAATCTTTTTAAGGCATTCATTTTCTTTAACAACATTCTGTATATTGTTATTCTCCAGAAGAATTCTCAAATTAATCCCTTCAGAAAAGGAGGATGAATGAAGACAGCACCTAGATTTTTGGTTCTGTGTAAGCTCACATCCCCATAACACCGAGTCTGGGTTTGGAATGACACCTTCAGCTCCCTTATTGTCTCCTCACTGTTTTGCTTTAGTGACTTTCAAATTGTGAATGCTATCACAGTTCTGAAATCTCTAGTCAGCCATCTGGCAGATTAAATTCAAAGCTTTAATCATTGAGGTTCTTTTAAATTATTGTGTATAACCTGTCCAGTGCAAGAAGAGTCCGGAGGTCAGTGTACCTTGCCTTGTCCAGGAGGAAGGCAAAGCAGCAGCATGATCCGCTTTCACTACAATCTGCAGTATGTAGCTCTTCATATCTGAGCCATTTTTCATTTATCAAAAATGCAGGAGATAACAATGAATATTTTTTTTTCAGCCAAGACATTGTGTTCTAGGCCTTTGAGCCCTTAGTGTAATGAATTTAATGTTGTCCTTTTCTCCAACCTGTTAACAGGTTGAGACTGTTAAATGGAGTTCAGAATTCATTTTGGAAGGTGACGTCTTTTGCAGTACATGTGTCTATTATACACAGCATTGTATACTTGGCTTTATGCAAAAGGATTGAGGAAATTTTGTGGCGGTGTTTGTAACATTCTTACCTTGGTCATGGATGGTGAAATTGTACTCCCAAGAAATGTGATTGTGCAAAGTTTAAATGTTGACCTTTTAAGAGTTAAGTTGTGACTATTTGAAGTAGACTACACCATGATAGCTTACAAAATATGATTATGATTATACACCAAAAAAATGTGACCTACATTACAGTATTTATCATTGATTTCTGAAAAGTAAAACCTTTAGGGCCAACAGAAAACATACGGTGTTAATAAATTCCATGTTAGCATTATAGTATTGTTTATAACCTAGAGCATAACCAATTTCAAATCTTGACATTAACTTCTGTCAGTAATCTCACTACATCACTGAAGACATCACTGCCATCTCCAGGCACAGATGTACCTGTTGGAGGCCAAAATGGCTTCAGACCCATGCCTTGAACCCACCCCTTTCACTGGCAGGCACTTGCACCTGCCTTATGCAACACACACACACAGCAGGGTATGAAGACATTACTCATCCCTGAATATCTTCCGT